ATTAGAAAGGTGCTGGCTGAGGACTCAGTTCTGTATTTACCATAATATGTGGAATCTCAATGTCCATCTCTTTTCTTCCTTTTTTTTTCCCCCCAGTCCTCTTCTTTGACTGTGAGGTGTCAAATGAGTTTTCTACTTTTGACTTCTCAAACCATTTTCTCCTAAAGTTTAGTGTTTCTGCTCTTTTCAAAAAGATTTTTTTTTTCCACTGGCTCATTTGCTGTTGGTGGCTTGAGGAGAATCATCACAATTATTTGTGTACTTCTAAGAAGAGGACTGAGAAGGGAAGCAAAGATCTTGGCTTTCCCATGCTTCTTCCTTGAGCAGAAAAACCACAGTAAAGGTTTTTCACAACCACACAGAGAAAGTATGGGATTCCTGTAAGCACGTGCAGGATTTTAATCTTCTAACATATGCTTATTAGCTCTGTTACAATTTAGTCATCAAATACCTTAACTTAATTTCTCTCTGTTCTTTTTCTTTGACAAGTGATAGCAGGACATAGTGAAGTAGAACGAATTATGTTTGTTCTTTTTTTTTTTTTTTTTTTTAAGCCCCATTTGTTTGTTGAGGTCAGGTTATGAATTGGAAACAGTCTGAGAGCTACCTACAGACAAACAACTTGAGTCTCACCTTCTCACAAAACCAGCCAGAACTGACGCCGCAGTTGTCATGCCCAATGGTGACTCTGCTGAGAGGGCTGAGAAGAGCAGCTATTTCCACGTTGAAGAGATCCGTCCTGGCACGCTCAAATTCACCTCCTTCCAAAAAAATCTTCCCACTGTTTTTTAAGCCCTTGGAGCCATGGAGAATTACGTGGATCTTGGAGTTTGTGCCAGCTCCTCTGATTTGTTTTTTTTTTTTTTTTTTTTTTAGAAACTAGTTGACGTAAAAGGAGTTACATTACTTAGTTTTTCAGGCTTTCAAATGAGTTTAGTGGTCCTGAAAGAACTAATGCTAGTCTTCCAGAATGTTTTCTGGTCTTGTCTTTTTTTCAGTTTCTCTTTCCCTGGTGTGAATAATTGTCCTTTGAGTCAGTAATAGTAATCCTGCAGGATCCGATCGGTAGGCGCTGCTGTTGCTGTTCCTGTTCTGTATCCAGACAGCCTTGGTAGCTGAAAGGATGTAATTTTATTTATAATACTGTGTTATATAGGAACTCTGTTCTTATGGGGCAGTATCTTGTTATGCTAAAACCGGAAAGGTGATCCTTGTCCTGGAGATCTTTTTATAGGTAAATTGTAAGACAAAAGACAGAGCAGATGGGGGTTGGTGGTAACATCAGGCAGTACAGAAATGAAAGAGGTAGAGCTGGCAGTAGTTTCAATGTGCCAAAAGAGTCTTATCATTGCCACACTGGTTCTTAATTCCCTGCAAACTGGATAGTAGTGAAGAGTTTGGAGGCAATTGGAAAGAAAATGTGAACATGTGGGTATTTTGGGGTGACCTTCCAGGTGTGATGGGCACTTGGGATATGTTTCTAACCCTGTTGTGCTGAGGGGATGCTGGGCACCGGCTTCCAGGACTCTCGGGCTCACCTAAGCCAGTGTTCTTGTAATTTGTTCACAGAATGTGTATATGCTGGGCTTTCTTTTAAATGAGGTTTAAATTAGCTGGACTTTTAAGTACAGAGGCAACTGCTGTTTGAAGGCAGTGAAGGCAGCAGACCGTGAGCTTTAAGCTCCCTCTGGTGGCTGTTTAGTGCACTTCAAAGCGTACCCCTTGCACTTTTCTGTTCTGGAGTTTTGAGGGGCTAAGTGCCCAACGTGTTATTAAATTATCGTGATTTTTAAAATTAATACAGGAATATGATGTGCTGTACACCTTTTCAAGGTGCCAAAGGTCGTTTATAATCAGACTTCAGAAATATAGAAGAGTTGAAGTTAGAGGTCTCTTCTGTAGTTATTGTAAGCAGGAGGGGGTATTTCCCATAAAATTGTTGATTCTGTCTTTTTTTTAATGGTGCCATAATTTCCTTCTGATGTCCCTGGAGGTGCTTTTAAATGTCACAGAACACTGAAAATAGATATGATCTCTATATGAGAAACAAATATGCTTTGTTAATACAAAATTAGTTCAATATTAGCTACCTCTGATTTGCTCTTCTTGCTCTAAGAATGTGAATGTAAATGACCTCAGGCTTGCAAAGTGTTATGCTTTGTCATTCCCAAAGGACTCCTTCTAACTTGGCTGTAATTTAGTGAGGCTTCACAAGACTGCAGAGCTGTGGGCTGCAAGGTCAGCACTGCTCAAAGGGCAGTGTCACTCCACTCCTGTTCTCCCCGTTGTTGCTCTGGCGCTTGTCTGACTTCTTGATGCTTATTAAAGTAACAAAAGAGTGTTCATTCCCCTTATGTGTCCCACTTTCTTTTTTTGGTGGGCTAGTTGATAGAAGGCATAATGCAAGGAGGTGACAACACCACGCAGGTGAGAGCAAGAAAGGAGTGGGACCTCTCCTTTTGGTAGCAGAGGGTTATTTTAATAAGTTTATTGTCTTCAAGAAATTTGACTCTTAGTTCTCACACAACTTCGTTGACCAAAGCTGCGTGTTCCTTGAGACTTCAGAATATTCCCATGGCATTGCACAGCAACAGAGGACATAGGTTAAATGCACCTTAAATGGTAATTGTGCTGAAAAAAGCAACCTGTGTCACCAATCTGTGCTGTGCTGGCACAGGCTTCTGTGCTGGCTTATGGTGAGCCAGGCTGGGGGACTTATCCAGATAAAAGCAACATGCCTTTGGTGGGATGCTTTTCGGTGATCGCTCCCCCAATCTGGGTGTTTGCAGAAATGCTTGCCTGTACCACAGGGGAAAAAATGGGGACTGAGTGTTTCTTTGGTTTGGTTTATTTGTGATAGCACTGTGCGTCAAGCTGTGGCTGTGTAGGTCATTCCTGAATTTTTGATAAGCTGCTCCAGATATCCTCGTGGCATTCAGTACAGCTGGCTGTGTCACAGTGAATGTAGCTGGAGCCCACGCTGAGAAGTACAGTCCTTCAGGCTGCAGCTGGCAGGGGTGGGTGGGAAGGGCTCCTGCTGATACCTGGCTGCATGCGGGACAGTTCAGGTTTTATCAGAATCGAGACTGTTTCTTTACAAGTTTTAATGTGCTTAAAAAGTTATTAAAAGTTCGGGTTTCTGCCTTGGGTTGGAGTTGGCCGAAACTCAGTGTCCTGGAAGGATTGGGGTACCACCATGGAGATTGCTTCTGTGTCAGTTGGTCAGCAGTCTGTAACAGCCCAAATATCTGCAATCACTGTGATTTGTCCCCAGAGCTGGTAAGGTTGAGCTGTCCTCTAGGCGTTCACATCACTGTCCAGGGAGGTCCTGCCCCAAACTGGCTGAGGCAGAGCAGATTTGAGAAGGGACAAAGCATTTATTCTGCATCCATGAGGCTTTTTGGCAGCTACCTTCTTACTCTTCTTTCTTTGCTCTCTTCTCAGGGCATTCATAACGTCTGCAAAGGAAAAGTTGTGAGAGTCAGAAATGTGCTGTGTAAGAAGGAGCACAGCACAGGTCCTTCTTACGCTTGATTTGAGGACCAGCAGCCTGCTTTCCTTTGCTTCATCTAGTCAGATTATTGAGGAAATGACTGAGAAGCAGCAGCTTTAATCTGTGGTGTTACTGGCTCATATTTGAATCTTCCGTTGTACGTGTTTTGTTAAGGATGAATGAATTAAATCAGATTTGAGATATTTTATTTACTGGAATATATTTTTCTTAAGTTAAATACCTTGGTCTTTATGCTAAGATCTTTGTGCTTTTATTCCCAAAGCAGTGGGTATAAATCAAACCCAAGAGGTATGCGGCACAAACATTCTCTTCAGGTTGCCAGGAACAGGACTTGAATTTGGAGTTTGGAAGTTCAGCTGAAGTTCAATGACCTACTCTGTCACCTTGACCCAGCTCTGTAGGTTGTGTGCAGTCTCTCTACACGTGCACATTCCTTTCTCAAAGGTGCATCAGTTCATCTTACACTGCCCAGTGTAAGAGAGGGCAGCATAATACCCTGTAAGAGTATTTTGTGCCATGTCCGTGTTTAGATGAATCCCAAATAGCAGAAACTGGAGAATATTAACGGCAAAAGTGGAGTGCAGCATGATGTTATGAAGAGCTGGTGTCTTTGGCAGGGTTGTTTTTACCTTGTGGGACAGCGGGGGTGGATCTCAGGGCTGCAGCATGAGGTGAGGCTGCAATGCGGGTGGTGAGCTCTCATTGCTCTCTGCAGGCAATACCCCACCTGGCAATGGCCCAGGTTACTGCATAGTTTCATGTTTTCCTATAGTTGGTTTTCAGGTAGAAACCACCATGGAGCTGGCTTGCAGCAGTGGTGGAAGAGCCAGTAACACCTGGAGCAGTTAAGGTGCCTATGGGACCTTATAAGAGGATGGTACAAGGGGATGGGTGTAGGCAGCTGGGGAGCTGCTGTAGCCATCCCCAAATGAGCTAAGCCCTCACTGAGTCTTTAAGGTGTCAACTCTGAAGTGAAACACTAGAGGGTAGTATGTTACTGCTGTTAATTTATTTTAGAACGTATCCACAGTCATGATTTTTTAATCCCTTGAATTTTTTCTACCGCTCAAATCTTTTAAAACAAATGTAGAACTAAAGAAAAAATAGTGCTTTGTTTCTGTGACTGAGAGTGTGTTCAGCAGCATTTAGAGGTGTGCAATGATACTTTTGGTTTGAGTAGGAAAAAGGTTGGGTTGAATTTAGATCTGACTTTTATCTTTCATCAGAATTATTATTAGAAACACAATACTTAGAATTATTCACTCTCTACCTGATGTCTCAATATTCACAATTACGTGCACACAATATAAATTGCACAGTGGTATGTAAGAGGAGGCCATGACTGAGAAAGAAGAAGCAGTTTTACCAAGAGACACTTGGTTTTAACAAGGCAAATACATATAAGTTCATGACATGGCTCATATATATTTACAACTGGGATCAGTTTTAGTACTTGAATAACTTTTTTTTTTTCTTTCAGGCACCACCTTCCATGGTCAATAATGAACAACGCCAACATGCCGAGCACATATTCTTATCATTTAGGAAATCAAAATCACCATTTGCTGTTTGCAAACACATTTTGGGTAAGTTTTAGTAACCGAAGTTAAGCACGTACCTGTTTTTATAACTGGAACTGTGCTGTTCTTCTGCAGCTGGGAATACAAACATTAGATTTGATTTTGAGGAGGGGTGGTTTTTGATGGAGGGTGAAGCCTGTTGCTGCCTTTTGGTTTTGTTTCTGGCATCTTTAAAGCTTTAAGGTGCAACTTCACGTAGCTAAGTTCCTAAACTGATTTAATAGATTGAGGTTTCCTCTGCTACATGATTATTTGTAATATTGTCTAATCTGTGGAATTTGTAGAACTGTCTACAGTGTAATTCCTTGGTGCTTCCCATTAAACCAGTCAGCAGTACAATTTTATATAGCTCTGCCAGATTTTGTGGTGATGCTGAACTTTTCCATGGTGAGAGTTTTTCAGGATGAATGTCTCAGTAAGTTGCTATTAACAGCCCAACTGTTGCATAAAAAACCAAACCAAAACAAAAAACAAACAAAAAACCAAAAAAAAAAAAAAAAAGAGTTGGAAAAGTTTCTGTCCAACTGGTAGAATCAACAGAGCGTTGATTCAAAGTTTTGTGGGATTACACCTGTGGAGAAAGGAAAGAGATCTGTAGGTATTGCCTTTTATCAGAAATTGATTGGATTTTAATGGAAGTTATGTAAATGTGGTTGTGTTACAAATCTTCAAAATCTTCAAAAACAAATCTGTTTTTACAGGCGCTATAGAGACTTACTAGAGTTTGGCAGCTAAATAATCTGAAAATTGCAGGAGCAGTAAGCATGTAGGGTTCCTGCTCAGCACCACTGTACTGACCAGATGGAAGTGTTGGAGGCAGGCGAGGGGGAAGCTTCAGTGAAAGCTGACTCTGAAACCTGGAAATTTGTGGAAAAGAACATACACCAAAACCCCCAAAAGCAACTTTTCTTTCAAAGAATTTGCCAGAATAAACAGAGAAATGTTAGAATTATGTTTAAAATACGACTCAATTTCATAATTCATCCATTCCACAGTATTTTTTAACAGTTATTTTTAAATTTACTGGTTTAGAGAAGTGCATTGGCATTAGTATGGTAATGTCAATACTGTGGGCCTACTACTGTGTTGATAAATTACACTTTGAGATATAGAGCAGGGTATGGTTCCTTTCCTACACCCACTCCCTAACAAAAAGTTTTTCTACAAATGAGTTTCTTCTGGGTTTAGTGTATTATATTAGTACTTCATCTGGTCCTGAAGACTGTAACCACACTTTTTGCTTTATGGGTCAGCAAAATTGATGTCTTTTATTTTCACCTTGAGTTTTAGAAAAGTTTAAGTGGGCAAAAGAACATACTTAATGAATATTTTGATCTCTCATAAGTGATGCATTTGGCACTGCTCAGAAGTAAATAATAGAAATTTATGAAATAATTATCCAGCACTGCTAACCCTGCTAAGGGATACATCACTGCATCTTGTTCTTATAGAAGGGAATGCAGTTTAGCATTAGTAATTAAATATGACTGCAGACATTTTTCTTCTTTTTTTCCTTCTGAAATGTGGCTGGTTGGAAGGAATGTGGTGTTGGTTTTAACACCTTTTGGATGTCTTAGAAATATTAGATACACTGCTCATGGTCTGTCACCATTAAGAAACCAGCATATTTCCACATGGGTCAGGTTTTTCCTGGCAGTGGCTTCTGCAATAGGCAGTTGTGATGCTGAGACCTGGAACTCAGAAACTTTTCCCCAAACTTTTTGCTTCTTGAATCAGTGTTTGTATAGTCTGGACAGAAGGAACAGCTGGTCAACACTTTGGAGGTGAGAAGAGAGAGGTAGGGATAATGGAATCAGGAACCGGAGAGGGAAACAAGCAGTTCATGACAAAGAATAAAAGTGTACTGAGGGGATCTGTGCAGGTAGGGATGGGCAGGAACTGGCAGATCAGGTTAGATGGATTTAAAAAGACATGGAAAAAAATGATCAAGACAAGGAGTTGGAATGGAGACGGAGAGAGATAACAAGGATGTTGATGGCGTTCATGGAAAGAAAAGTGTACGAGCAATGCAGGGAGAACAACAGAGATGATGAGCACAAGGAAAAGGGGAAGAGCCAACACCATACAGTTTCTTTAGAAACCTGGAGTTGAACCCAGGAAGCATAAGGCTTTACGTTCTTCTGCTGTAAGCTTATAGCTCTTAAATGTACTAGCAAAACTTGTCCAGTCTTTCTTTAGTAACTTCATGGAGAGGATAATGGTGGTCTGACTAAGTTATAAGCTTACACTGGGTGCTAGACGTCTGTGCTGTTAATGGTTGCACTTGTGCATCTGTGGTACTTGATGCAAGGGAGAAATTCCATCCTCTTTTTTTAATAGCATTTTCATTTTGTGTGAGCTTTGTACAGTTTGAAAAGCCAAAGACCCAGAAGTTAGAAAATGCCAGAATTAAGACTTCCGTGCAGGAATAATTTGGCTTATTTTTATGTGTGTGTTAACCATACACATAAATCTTTTAATTAAGTAGTTACTTAGTTTTCCAAATGAAGCTAAATAGATTTAGAGTTGGTTTGTTTAAGCATGTTTACCTGTGTGGGGTTTAGATTTGGAGCCTGATTAAATTAACTTAAAAACATTTTAGGGAGTTAGCTGCTGTCTTGTATCTAGAACTTGCATATAAAGGAAACATGTATTACAAATGGGTGTGCATATGATCAGTGGAAGAAAGTTTGTTTTGTAGTCATTTAAAGCCCATCGTCTTGTGACCAAGGCTTTCTCAAACAACTTTACCATCCATAAAATAAATGTAATTTTATGCACTGTTGGTTCCAAAGGCAAGCACCTAGATGATGGAGAAGTCTTCAGTTCTGGCGTGACTGTCAAATTATTCATATCTTAATGTACTGGGACTAAACATTTGGTTGTTGCTGTTCCACAGTTGTGTTCAGCATTCTTATTCTTTGGCCCAGTCTCCTTGCCCAGCCAACTTTTCTTCCCTGTGTCTCTGACTCGATTAATACTGATCAATTTGATAATTGGATTATTGATTTATTTCCCCACCCTTTTGAGGTGTAAATACTTCGTCTGATTTCATAGCAACAAAAGTCCATTTAATAATAAATTAATAGTAAATTCCATTAATTTTTTATTTTAGAAATACACACAAGATAAATACATGTGTGCCTTCTGATACTCTAATTCTGTTTGTTTCTCTCTCACAGAAACTAGTAAAGTGGACTATGTCCTTTTTCAAGCTGCTACGGCGATAATGGAAGCAGTTGTAAGAGAATGGATTCTCTTGGAAAAAACTAGCATCGAGTCACTGCGAACATTCCTTCTAACCTATGTCTTACAAAGGCCTAAGTAAGTACAGGAGGAAAAACCCTCTGAACGTGTAGGATTCTACATGAAGTCTGGGTTATCCTTTTTTTTCCCAAGGGCAGTGATAGAAGATAATTTCAACAATTATTTATCTTCCGTTAACGCTTAGTTGACTTCTATGGAGTTGTCAGCTTTCCCTTATGAATTTGCACAAAGTGTTTGAAAAAGAAATGAGTTAAATTTTACTGAGCATTGATGTTGACTATTGTTTGCAAACATATTTTTGTGATGTTGCTTACAGCCTTCAAAAGTACGTTCGGGAGCAGATTCTATTAGCAGTAGCGGTGATAGTGAAACGGGGATCATTAGACAAATCAATCGACTGCAAAAGCATTTTTCATGAAGTCAGCCAGTTGATCAGCAGCGGCAACCCCACTGTTGTAAGTATTATTATTTTTTTTTCTTAAAATGTAAGCAACCTGTATCAGCAGCATAAATTTTATACTTAGTGACTACAAAATCTTATATGCTTCTCAACTAAAAATTCAAATTAGCAATTAAGTTGATAGCTATTCGAGCAATTGTTTTCAAAGTCCGAGATTTTTGAATAAGGAGGTTTTGGGACTAGTAATAATACGTGTAGTTCTTTGGTACACCATATTTTTTAGGAAATAGTTTTCTCTGAAAACTCACTTCTTTAGGTGCTATGGGATTTTCTTTTGTTGTTTGTTTCTCTGGGTTTCTTTAATAAAACAGCAGGATCTAAAATGGATTTTCCATTAGCTGGCCGGTTCTCTGTGCGCTCTGTTCCCCTCCCATCTGTGCAGAGCTGCACCCTCCTGTGGCTCAGCTGTCGGAATAGGCTGCCCAGCCAGAGGCATAGGTCTCTGCTGTTCTCGGGGAGACGGGTAGGTGGAGAGAAAGGGGCGTGAGGAAGTAAAACGTGGAATGGAAATACAAAACTTACTCTAGATTTAATGTCATACTGCTAGGGGTAAGTGTTACCTTCCATAGTGAGCTCAAAGTGGAAACAAGGTGTCCAATATCTATCTATGCATTTAGTGAAATTCCGTTTGCTATGCCAGGAGATAAGTTTAGAATAGGTCATAATAGAGGCATGTAACTAGAGATTAAAGAGAGGTGATTTTTCTCCTACCAAATGCAAATTGAAGATTGTGTAGATTCCATGCTGAAAGTTTTAACCAAAGCTTTTCTCAAACAAAACAAACCGTGGGGGAATGGACTCCTAACATCGCCGAGCATTTAGAGCAGCAGTTGTACTAGATGTGAGCGGCAAATGTTTAACTCTGAAAATTCGAACAAAATGTGCTAGAAGTAATGCAGCTCATGTCATGGTCCTAAAAATAGTGTGTCACCTCTGAGCACAAGTGATATCCCCCTAGGGTATGGCAATTTCAGTTATACTTCTAAACCTTAATTTCACTGTTATTTATCTGAAGGAGAACATTTTAGCCTTTTTGGTTGTGCATGATTTGGATAGAAATGGGTATTTGTTTAGGAGAACAATGTTAAGTTCATGGCTTTTTTCTGGGAAACATAGCCTTCTGATTAAAATGGAGTTACAACTGAGGCTTCCAAGTTGTTTATGTGCTGGTGTGTATGCTTATGTAATTTATATGATCTTGCCACAAAGACACAAAAGTGGAGTAAATAGCAGCCTGGATGTTAACAGAGAAATCCTCTCTGCACTGGCTCTTGTGCAGTCCAGCTTTTACAGTTGTATTCTCCATGTGCACTAATACCCAGACGGGCTGCTCCGACCACAGCGTGCAGGGCGCGCAGGCTTTATCGCCCCAGCCTTCCTGAGGAACAGAGCTCATTGCAGAGGAGCTCGGGCTGGGGGAAGGGACAATATTTCACTTTCCTCTTCTCCAAGTTCACCTGCTGCCACCACACAGAGGCCTAGTTTGGCTCAGCTTTTCATTTCCCTTTATCAACTCCCCTTTACAAGTGTTACTTTCTCCATAGTTTTTCCAAAGTATTTTGTGCGCAGGTTTTAAGAAGAGTATTTAAAACATCTTTAGTATATGAAGGTGTTTTCTATTCTGGTATGCTCATACAATGTACTAGCGAAAAATGTCACGTGATGCTGCTGGAACATATTTTCTGTAAGGCCCAGTATATGTTTGTTAAGTGATTGGCAGGCTGGTTATAAACACATGCTTCCCATGTACGTATTATAAAATTGTTCTCATTCATAAAAATGTTTTTGTGCTGCAGGAGAAACTCTGTTGCTGGCACAGCTTTATGTGACCCAGGACTTGGCATACACAAGAATAAGCAGTAATAAAATTGTGTGTTAGCGCAGTACCTGCCACAACTGAGCTCTGACTAGGTTCAGGGGGACACCACTTGTATAAATATATAATAACTTTGAAAGGTTGTATGAGATAATTCATACAATGAATTAGCCACTTATCTTTTCAAACATGGGTGGGTGTTCACTAGAGTCTCTGTAGCATTCGGCTGTGCTCATCAGGCCGTGTGGCACCGCAGTGGTGCAGCTGCCTTCCTGCCGTCTGGAGTCTCGGAGAAGTTGCTCCAGGGTCTGGTATGAAGCTGAGGGAGTGACACTGCTTTCAAGATCCGAGATGTGCTGTCAGGACAGCGCCATGCAGTGTGACAAGTGTTTCTGCACTTCACTGGAGATACATTTATATTAGTTATAAGAACTGGCCTCCACCCAAGTGAGGGAGGAGGCTAGGATATAGGTGTTGGGAGAGATCATAGAATCATAAAATTGTCCAGGCTGGAAGGGACCTCCAAAGGTCATCTAGTCCCACCTCCCCATGGTCAGCAGGGACACCTCCAACTAGAACAGGTTGCCCAGGGCCTCATTGAGCCTCACCTTGAATATCTCCAGGGATGGGGCCTCAACCACCTCCCTGGGCAACCAGTTCCAGTGCTCCACCACCCTCACAGTAAAGAACTTTCTCCTAATCTCCAATCTAAATCTGCTCCCCTCCAGCTTAAAGCCATTTCCCCTTGTCCTATCACTGCAGGCCTTTCTAAACAGGCTCTCCCCAGCCTTCCTGTAGGCCCCCTTCAGGTACTGGAAGGCCGCTATTAGGTCTCCCCGGAGCCTCCTCTTCTCCAGGCTGAACAACCCCAGCTCCCTCAGCCTGTCCTCATAGCAGAGGTGCTCCAACTTCCTGATCATCCTCGTGGCCCTCCTCTGGACCCGCTCCATCAGGTCCATGTCTTTCCTATCTTGAGAGCTCCAGACCTGCACACAATAATCCAGGTGAGGTCTCACCAGAGCAGAGTAAAGTGGAAGAATCACCTCTCTGGACCTGCTAGCAATGCATCTTTTGATGCAGCCCAGGATGCGATTGGCCTTCTGGGCTGCAGCTGCACACTGCCTGCTCATGTCCAGCTTCTCGTCCACCAGCAGCCCCAAGTCCCTTTCCTCAGGGATGCTTTCTAATACCTCACCCCCTAGTCTGTACTGATGGCAAGGATTGTCCCGGCCCAGGTGCAGAACCTTGCACTTGTTCTTTTTGAACCTCATGAGGTTCACCTGGGCCCACTTCTCCAACGTGTCCAGGTCCTTCTGGATGACACCACATTCCTCGAGTGTATTGACAACACCACACAGCTTGGGGTTGTCTGCAAACTTGCTGATGGTGCCTTTAATCCCTCTGTCTATATCATTGATAAAAATGTTAAACAGTATCGGTCCCAGCATGGACCCTTGAGGGACACCACTTGTCACTGCTCTCCATCTGGACTTCGAGCCATTGAGTACCGCCCTCTGGATGCGACCATCCAGCCAGTTCCTTATCCACTGAACAGTCCACCCATCAAATCCGTACCCCTCCAATTTGGCAAGCAGGATATTGTGGGGGACTGTGTCAAAGGCCTTACAGAAGTCCAGATAGATCACGTTCATAGGTCATCCCTTATCTACTGACCAAGTCACTTTATCATAGAAGGACACTAGGTTAGTCAGGCAGGACCTGCCCCTAGTAAAGCCATGTTGGCTGTCCTGAATCACCTCCCTGATCAACGGACATTTTCCAGCCCTATGTGCCTCCCTGATTCCTTCCACTTCTTTAACATGTCTTTCCTGTGGTAAGCGCTCTTGTCTCCAGCCTTGTACACTCAAGTTTCAGAAGTCTGTCATACTTTTGACTCCCAATTCTTTATGGAGTCTCTTGGTCCCTTTTCCATGTCCTTCCCTTCTGCTCCATGTTTGCTCTGACCTATTGCCCACCCTTTCGTGTCGTCCTACCTGAGGTTTGCTTCAGCAGCTGAGAAACAACATGTGGAGTCAGCAGCAGGTCATTTCATGTTTAGAAATGTTTAAAACATGGCTGAAATGTCTGAAACATGGCTCCTAGCTGTTGATAATGGCTTTCTCCAGCAGTTTGTAATTGAAAGAAAGTCTTTTTTTAAAAAGTGCTTTTCTTGCCGGCTTCCTCCTTGCTTTCTCCTCTCTGCTGGCTCTGAAGCTTTATGGCCCTTCTTTATCTTACAAGAATAAAGTAGGTACTTAATCTTTTCCATTCCCTGCAACCCTCCATCCAGTTCCTGTCATACATCTGTACTAGTTTTGTGTTTGCTAGGCACTCCTGCTCTGTGAAATCTTTGGGGCTTTTCAGTAACATGTCCTGAAGGTTGCTGTAATAAGGACAGCAGCAAATGGAGATGTTACTGTGTCTTTTACATGTGTCCTTTTGCAGGATTTGGTATGCTTCATACCTTAGCTTCTTGAGTATTAGCTAACAACGTCTTTAGAACTGGATGTATTTCGAAGATGGAGCTTGAAGGTATGTTGAGTAATGTTGTGGCAAACTGGGAGCACGACTGATGGATGAACTGTTGAGAATGAAAAAGCAAAAAGGAGATTGGAAGGAAGAGAAGGAAAGGAATAGCAATGAGAGGAAGCCGGCAGGAGATGAAAAAGATGGCTTTACTATTGAGTAATTTCTTAATGGTGGAACACAGTCTACACGTTTAGGAAATAACAGGGCACTAAGGAGAGGTAATGCTGCAGGCATGAGAAGGATGTGTGGTTAGAGCCAGGGTTTGAACCTGGAGCGTTGGCTCCTGCTGCTGCTCCTCTGTAGTATGGACCTTTATGAATCTCATGGAAGAAACCTCTGTCTGAGAAGGGAAAGCAGACTACAGAGGGTCTGGCTGCCTATTAATTTATAAATAAATGAGTTTAGGTAGTAATCCTCTGGGAAGACAAGGATTAGCTTTGGAGTTCCTGGTTTTGTTTTTCCTGGCTCCTCCTGTAACACGGATACAAGCCATCTTCCTGCTCACGAAGGAGAGCCTGTAATCTCCCTCCAATGGCAATTTCAGGATCTCTTTTCAAAATCTTCATCTCTGGGGGACAGAGCTTCTGGCAGCAGACACAGTATCGTGGGCCAATCTTAAAATGCTAAATATGTGTTTTCTATCACTGATT